CCCCGTCTGGTTCCTGAGATATGCTAGAGACTGTCAGTTGGTTGAAAATGTTCAAAGGAGGGCCACCAGACTGGTGCCTGCACTTCGGCACCTCAACTACCCTGAGAGATTGGAGCGCCTGAACTTGCCTAGCTTATACTACAGACGAGCACGGGGCGACCTGATTGAGGTGTATAAGCATCACAAGGGGCACTACTCAGTCGAGTGTCCTTACTTGAAGCTGGCAGACGCTCGCCCCACAAGGGGTCACAGCTCAAGATTGAAGAAGCCACAGGTTCAGAAAACTGTGAGGGCAAACTTTTTCGGAGTGAGAGTTGTGAACTCTTGGAACAATCTACCAAAAAGTGTTGTGACGGCACCGAGTGTGAGCTCTTTCAAGACCAGATGCATCTGAAAGCAGTGCCTTGTTCGTTCATGTTAGGAATAATAATCACCCCATTGCTTGGGAAAAAAGCTTAGAAGCATTCAAATCATCTTGTGTCACAGAAAGACTTCTGGTTGAAGCTAGTTTGATTAAGGAATTAAAATCAATAAACCTTAGTGATGGTCAGTTCAAAACTGATAATATGTTACATAAATTTATTTGTCAGTGGCCCAAGGTTAAAAATGCTTTGAAAACCTTTGATCTAGATGTATGATAGTTATTTTGTGGGTCCCTTTTTTCTGACCTGACCTGGCTAGTCACGTCACCACCCTTCTCTTAAGCTCCTCTACGTTTGTGTTGGTCTGGGGATTAGTGGATGTCATCATTATGACCTGACCTCATGTTTTTAGGTCACCCTGTATATTTAAGCCCCTCTCTGTCCATGTAATCCAGTTGCCTCTGAAGATGTCTTGAATAAAGACGAAAGCTAAGGTACTCCGTTGTTTCCATTTTCCCGTGTGATTTTATCAAGATTTATCTTATCCACGTTTTCATTGTGGGTCTACGTGAAATATATATCTTCCCCTCCCCTTCTTTAATTTTTCTCTAACTCTCTCTCATTCCTTTGTTTCTCTTTAGTTTCGTGTGGTAGTCCCATAAAACCTTAGTTGTTAAGAGCCCGCAGTAATACATTATAAGGTCAACATTCCCTCCTCCCTCTCTCCATCCCCAACTTGCAAGATCGATAGTTAAGTGTGTTTGTTTCTTGATGGTTTGGAAGTGAATGAACCTTTCACACAGTAAACCGCACACTATAGTGACACGCCTTTAAACTGAAATAATATAGAAGTTTGAATTCTATACTGAAATATCAGAGGCACTATTAGGCTTACACGGAATTTAATTATGTACACTGTGGGAGGCTTCAGGGCCATCGCAGAGGGAGGGGCAAGATAACGAGAGGTGAGGGAGCCTACACGAGGCAGATAATACGTAAACTGAGATAACAAGCATGTGGTACACATAAATACAAATACTGTACACAGCTTAGCTCTTTATAATGAGAAAATGACAATGCTATTCGCTTAGTCAGCCAATATTAAATTCTTATGTCGAGTTAATAATAATAATTTTATTATTATTATTGAGTAAAATCGTCTTACAAGTTTATAACTGGTTTGGCACGTATATAGACAATGCAGTTATATAGTTCAGCATGCATACAGGTAACGCAGATATACGGTGTGCAAGTATAAAATTTCCAATGCATCAAAACAGTGCAGGTATGCAACATAGTAAACAGTAAGACGATTTGACCAAGGATAGCCGATAGAGCCATAAGTTGTTTACTGTATATCTACAGGAATACAAGTGAAAGCTTGTTAATAAATATAACATGCATTACATTGTGATTGGACTATCTGAGGCTGGCGGATCACCTAATATAGAAACTCACTCTCTTCTCTTCTGTGGTTTCATCTGTAATGTATTGTCTTAGTTTTAACTTTAAATTGTTTGATAACATTACTGGTTCTATTGTAGCCGACCCCGCGAATTCCCCAGTGTATGCCTCGTGGTCTAGGTCAACCAGCGCCGCCTTACATGACGGAGGTCAACTATTAAGCCACGCCTACCTCCGCTATATAAGACCTGACCTCGTGGTGACCTACCTCTCTTTTCTACCTACACCAACCAGCAAGCAACACCTCCTCCTCCCCCTGCCTGGCGGCCCTCGCTCCCGCCAGCGAACATGGCGACCCACAAGCTGGTCCTCCTCTGAGTGTCCTCACCAACCAGCTCTCTCTACATCACGCTTGTAACCACGCTGCCACTTCCCAGCACCAAGCTGCATTGTACATCCAATACAACATGTATACAGAGGGCACATTGTGAGTTTCCTTTCTCCATCCCATCCTGAGTGTGAACCAAATATCAAGGGACCCCACAAATGGTGACCCCCGGAGAATCGCACTCACACAGGATGGAGGAGAAACTGATCACTCTCCCAGTCTTCAAGCAACATGGAAGACTGGCTTATCCACACAGAGGAAGCTCTCATCGGCTCTACAGCTACTGTCTCTACACCGCAGGTTAGACACCCTAGAGCAGCACTGCTTCTCTAAGCAGACACCAGCTCCTCTTCCTGCCCCAAGCACCACGTCCTACTGACCACAGCACACCCGTCCTGCCTCAGACGCCGCCCCCGGCCCAGCAGTACCCCTGCCACTGTCCTGGACCCTCCTCCGCTCCTGCCTGGCAGTCCTTGCTCCCGACGCGGCCCATGCGCCTGAGTGCGGCCCCACACACCCTTTTTTTTCCCTCAGGTACTCCCTGCTACTGTCCTGCACCCTGCTGCTGTCGTGGACCCTCTTCCTGACACAGCCCCTGCTCCTGACCCAGACCCACACACCCCAGCAGGCGCATCCGAGGACTCTGTACTTGCCGCAAGGGAAGCACAACATTCATCCCCTCCACAACCCTTCTTCTCCCTCTCTCCTCCCACAGAGCTCGTGTATCTAGACAAAGTTGTCTCCACTAGCGGCCGGCTCATCCACGCCCTTGCCGTTATGTCTCACATGTGGCATACAACCCTGCAGACAACAAGTCTCCTGCACCGCCCATTCTGCCTCACATGTGGGATGCAACCCTGCAGACAACAAGTCTCCTACACCGCCTGAGGGAAGGGGGAGTATTGTAGTAGATTCCTCCCCTACAAACGCTGTTTGTCGCTGAGTAGCCGACCCCGCGAATTTCCCAGTGTATGCCTCGTGGTCTAGGTCAACCAGCGCCGCCTTACAAGATGGAGGTCAACTATTAAGCCACGCCTACCTCCGCTATATAAGACCTGACCTCGTGGTGACCTACCTCTCTTTTTACCTACAGCCAGTCTTCAAGCAACACCTCCTCCTCTACTCCTGCCTGGCGGCCCTCGCTCCCGCCGGCGAGCATGGCGACCCACAAGCTTGTCTTCCTCTGAGCACCCTCACCAACCAGCTCTCTCTACATCACGCTTGTAACCATGCTGCCTTCCCAGCACCAAGCTGCACTGTACATCCAATACAATATGTATACAGAGAGCACATTGTGAGTTTCCTTTCTCCATCCCATCCTGAGTGTGAACCAATACCTCGAATCCCACAAGGTAACTTGTTCCAGCCTGTAATCGCTGCAAAAAAGAAAGCGTCTTAAGCTTGACTGCGGACACCAGGTAGCATAAAATTGTGTTCACTTCCTTTAGTGTCCTGCATGTTCATATCCTCAATCCTTACAAAATTTGTTGTTAAGATACTCCAAGCAAACAGCTCGTTGAATATCCTATAAGCGTTATTCAGCCTCAACTGCTTGAATAAACCCCTAGGACCCTATGTTACCATGATAAGCAGGAATAGTCCATGCAAATAAGTGTAAGAGAGCTAAGCAACGATTCCTACGGACTTCAGCTGAGAAAAATTTGGCATATCTATGATTAATTCTCCAGTTAACACGGAAGAATCAAGAGTTAAACCAAGGCAAATTATGCAGACTGATTCATCTTAAAGGTATATGATTGGGTTTGCACATAATTCAACATGATGTCAGTAAGTTGCAAAGCTTTAACATCAACTGTATTGTTACCGCGAAAACAACGAGCAGTACTTGGTAAAACATGGATTAACAATACAATGACTAAACAACAACTGAAAAACTCTCATATCAAAGTGGAGTGTGGTAGTAGAACATAAAACATCATGCCGTGGGAGTCTGGGCGTGTTATGGCCGCCAACAACAGACACTCTCCAGACGCCCGAATACTATTCCACTCAAGAGCCACCTCGTCTTACTGAATTAGCTGGAAAACATCCTTCCTCGCCCCGTCACAGCAGGCCACTAAAGAAAGTCACTGGGAGGGGTAAGTACGGTCTCCCTAGATACATGCTCTAGCCCACTAACAATATCACGCTATAAACTTTCCCACAGGATATAGTCTCACCTCAAAATTTATAGTAAGACTAGATCACGGTTGGTGCTACTTTTAGTCTAACCTAACCTGACCCAAACCTAAGCTAACTTAACCTATATATTTTGTAGACTGCACGCTATAGTAGCACCTAACGGTTTTTAGGCCTAATTAACATTTAGATTACATTAAGTTTGGTTTTAAGTTAGATTGGTAAGCTTGAATTTTATCTTTTAACTGTTCAACTGGTATGGCTGATAAGCATATGGAGGGGAAGGCGGCCATATGTCTACCTGTCCTCCCGCCTCTTAGGCGCCGCCAGAGGTAAGTGGCTGATGACAGGGATGACGGGACGTGAAGAGCGGCACTGTACTCGAGGGCCGCTGGTCAACTACCCGCCATTCATCCCTGTCATAACATTATAACATCACTCAACCTTGATGGCCGCCTTCCTCCACCGCCACCTCTAATGTTTGCCGACACAACTATTCTTGCTTTCCACACCACAATTCTCAAAATATTATATAGAAATCGAAAAACGGCAAAAAAAATAATACTGTAAACTACGTTACAAAATAGTACTGTATACTCAAAAATTTCAACCTCCACTTAAATGCAGTATTAAACGGTACAATTGCTAAAAAAAAAAATTACAAAATATTTCAGTCACAGGCATGTAAATATTGAGATGGTTCCTACCTGATATAACAGCTATCATCAATAGAAGAACAGAATAGTAGGTTATCCTTAGCTTGTCCCGTACAGGGCCTGGGTGTCTAGCCCCACTAGCCATCACTAACACGTCCTCACTGAAAGACGACACGGACACAACTGAACTGACTGAGTACAACCAGGCGGGGAACACACACACACCTCCTTGTCCGACCCCTCCCCCCTCCCACAACTGACCACTCAGCACACATTCCTCTGCTCTTTCACAACTTCATTTAATACAGTACAGACAAAATTATAGTACATAACTATCCTTAGCTAAATGGAGTTAATGTTCACCATTGTTTTTATACTTGTCCTGACTATGTACAGTCAGGGCCAGAAGTTCGTGTGAAGCAGTTCGATCTCAAATGAGATAAAACAGTACATCCGCACCAGAAGACTCATTCCCGTGACACAGTTTCACTGCTTCATACCAACTTTTAACCCTGACTCTACGTGCACTGTAAGAGGAATTTTACCTAACAAATACGCATCTACCTCATTCCTTAAACACTAACACAATAAATTAAGGTAAAGTACCATTACAGACAGTAACTAGACAATCTAACAACCAGTTTAATTATAGCCCCATTATGTTGCCCTTATTCTACCTCCCATACTAAGATCAAGAGATACCGAGCCTTCATCAGAAGTACTCTATAAGAGCGACATAAAGGAAGCACTGTATGCCATACCACATTGAAGAGCCACACAAACCCGCTCTGTACAACCAACAGACCTGCATAGTGAACTTACACAACCAAAGTGTATATCACAAGGCTCAACGTGAACCTTACCTGTACGTATAGGAGACATCTAGTTATACGTGCAAGAAATAATATGATGCATTCAAAGCGCTTCCCCCCAGGTCTGGGATAAGTCCCATATAGAGTGAAATCGATGCTGTTGAATAAAAAACTGAGTAGACCAAATATAGTTTGGTTTGGTAGAAAAGAATAATGCAGCAGCATGATGTTATAGTTTCTTGCCCTTTTTCATTTACTCCCGCGTGAAGCTCGTGCCCTTCATGGGGCTCATCGGGAGAGAGGTACACTCAACTAGAGCTGGACACTCAGGACGAGAACACATTCTTGCCATAATACGTGAGACGTACTGGATACCCAAGTGCCGCAAATTACTCGACCGCACAATACGGACGAGTGTGACTTGCCGAAGAAGCAACTGGAGGCCTACCCATCAACGCCAAGCCGACCTGCCAGAAGATCGAGTGCGCCCAGGAGGCCAGCCGTTCACCTACACTGGCAATGATTGCTTCAGCCCTTTTTGGGGGGGGTTAAACAAGGAAGAGCCCGGGCGAAGAGATGGGGATTAGGATGTAAGTTCCGAAAGAGAGATCCTCAGTGGTTGCTCTAATTGTTTGTTTACATCTTTCTAGCTTGCTTATACAGGCGATATTACAGACACTTTTGAGCTAGGAATCTGAAATTTAGACACAATTGTGACAAAGAACTTTAGCAAAAATGAAGCAATCTAAACAATACGTATTCAAGGCATGGCATGAAGGGCGGTATAATGGTTGCCCCTCGTGTAACGAGGATGGCCGGCCCAAGGGCCACCTAGGAGTGAATTTGTTTAAGGTGTAGAAGCTGTCGCCAACACAACAACCACACCCTAAGACCTAAGTTAACGAGCTGCGTGACCTAGTGTCAAGGAATAGTCGAGAAGATAGGACAACTCGCCTACTGCACTGGCTACCCATTACCCCGGAATACGATCCACAAATCGATAAACATCCAGGTTCCCAATTACTGCTGGGTAGACAGAGCCAAATGGCGCAAAGAAACTTGCCCATAGTTTCACCCTGCCCGGGGATCGAACCCGGGTCCGCTCCCTTGCGAGGCGAGCATGTTGACTATGTATACCACAGGGACAGGGCGGTATACAGGAGTGGCACCAGGGGGTCTACATCCCCTTCGTCGGCGAGACCCTGCCCCCCCCCCCATCCCCCACCCACCCGTCGGGGAAATTCAACACAATTGTCGGGGAAGTCTTGGGTGTCAATTATAATAATTGCAATTATATTTTTCAGCATAAATAAATTACTCAATCTCAGTGTTTATTACAGTCTGTTCATAAATACAATATCAAAATGAAGGTGCAAATATCTATGTACAAATTTGTATTACGATAAAAAGTATTAAAATGTTATTAACAGACATCTATATGTGCAAGTTATCGCAACCTGTGACGTAATGGCCAGCATGCTCGTCTTGCAAGTGAGCTGATCCGGGTTCGATCCCCGGGCAAGTTTCTTTACGCCATTTGCCTCTGTCTACCCAGCAGTAATTGGGAACCTGGATGTTTATCGATTTGTGGAGTTGTCCGGTCTTCTAGGACTTTTCCTTGACACTGGGTCATGCAGCTCGTTAACTCAGGGTGAAGTTGTTGTGTTGGCAACAACTTCTACACCTTACACAAATTCACGCCTAGGTGGCACTTGGGCCGGCCATCCTCGATTTCGAGGGGCTTCCATTATATGCGCCAGTATAAACGTTGTTTTGACATTGACAAGACAGAGGCAGGAGAAGTTAGTGACAGCGTGCTTTCCAGTGGCTTTTAGAACATCAACGCCATTTCTGTTGTTAGACACTCATGGCTAAAGCAACACGTTTTAATGTTCACTGTACACTTTGTGGAGAAGTGATTCAAAATGGTTATACTGTACTTCAAAGCACACTAGCAAAACACAAATATCTTAATTTGGCTGGACGGACTGACCCTGTATCATTTGTTCATAATGAAATGTCTGGAATCGAGAAGAAATATATAGATTCTTTCACTGTTGGTACTTCGAGGCATCCTTCAGTTTCCCTAGTAACCCGCAAAAGACACGCTGTACCATTTAGGGATGTATAGCCATGCTAAAGTGTGGAAGCTTTAGTTTTACAGTTAATGAAATTACTGAAATGTGAATTAATAAAATTAAGAAGCTTTGTTGCTTTTACTACTTCACACCATCTAATACTTCTGCAAACGTGAGTCATAGTAGAATAGTTCTCAGTAATAAGTTCGTTTATGTGTTCACTGAGCAGTCATTAATATAATCCCCCATCAGGGAAGTCGAGCCCCCTGTCGGGAGAACTCTGGTAAACAGTACTCTCTTCGCCCTTCGTCAGCCTACTAGGCCCGTCAAGCGATTGGACCATTCCGTTTTTTTTAGTTTAACAAATTTATTGGCAGAGCTTGTAGTACAGTTTGCCTATTCTGAGTAATTCAGTCAGGTCTTGACACTGAGGGTGGTATCACTTCTCACTGTCACGCAGGACAGAGGTTCACACACAAAGAAATACATCATATTCATTAACAACTATAAATGTATATAGGTCAGGTTCATATGGATAATGTCACTGTTCACTGCCATGCAGGACAGAGGTTCGTACACAAAGAGTTGCATCATATTCATTGACAGTACATATACATATATGTAACACACACACACACACATATACATACATATACGTATATACATACACATATACATGTACACGTACATATACATGCACACACGCACACATACATACATATACGTCGGTCAGATTCATGTGGGTAATGTCACTTTTCACTGCCATACAGGACAGAGGTTCGTACACAAAGAATGCATCATATTCATTGACACTATATATAGGTCAGATTCATGTGGGTAATGCCACTGTTCACTGCCACGCAGGACAGAGGTTCGTACACAAAGAAGGAAATACATCACATTCACCAGCAGCATATATAGGTCAGTGGATCACATACATTGGAGTCATATTCTAATTGAAGACTAATCAGTGTGGGCTAGCAAATTTGGGATAAACAGCAAGAATGTCCTCAAGCACACCTGATTCAATGAAGTAATTACATAGTTCAAGATACAGTAAGTCAGGTGGCCTGAAGTCTTTGACAGTGTCACATTCAATAATATAGTGTTCAAGTGTATGCTTTAAAGGTTTATCACAAAGTTTACATGCTGAGTGTTCCGGTATGGGTACAGCGTTACTAACTTGCCAGATGTGTCTGTATCTTAGCCTAATTCTGGCCATGACTACATCACATTGTCTGGTTCTGTCCTTATGCTGGCCATACCGGTACCTCTTGTTACAAAATTTGTCATATTTACTAATGCTACAACTGTCAGGTCTCTCTGCATTTCTCACTTCTTCTAGATCAGAGTTCATGATTCTGACTTGAATGTTTTTAATTACAGCATTGGACAGACCAAGGTCGCGGTCAACATTTTCTTTCTTACATGCCTCATTGGCCAGTCTATCAACATGGTCATGATACCTGATTCCAACATGGGACGGAATCCACACAAATTCGATACGAAAGTTGTTCTCATTGGCAGTTATCACATTCCTTTTAATATCACATGCAACTTTAGACATAGAGCCTGACGGGCTGTTCATTGATTTCAAAGCACTTTGAGAGTCACAGAATATCACCCCACCTCCATTTTCTTTGAGGTAGTCTGTGGCTAAGTAGATTCCAGTTAGCTCAGTTTGTGTTGTGCTGGCCCAGTTGTTCAGCCTTTGTTTGTTTGACACTATCATCTCTTTTTCTTTATATATGACAATTGCACAGCCTGTTCTACCTGTGTTTGTCTGCACAGAACCATCAGTAAAAGTATAACATTCACTTGATTTAATACTCTCTATGTGTCTGTTAATAGTTTCTAGTGTGACACATCTCACCACATCGGTGTTTAACATTTGCTTACTACCAACAGGAGTGGAATTAATAGGAACTGATATGTCCAGCCAAGGAGGAATGGCATTAATAGGTTCGTCTGGGGTGATTGGGACATTCAGTTTCAGGAGATCTGCAACACTTTTATGAAGCCACGCCCCAAAGAGAGTCTTTTGTGAAAGGTTGGCGAGATGGTCGGGATTACTTAGATAGAACATCAACTCAGTTTGAGTTGTAGTTTGAGAACTATTGTTCTTCAAAACTTTGACACAAAACATGGTATTAAGTAGGGCTATCCTCTCAGATAGGGAGGGCAGTCCGAGCTCTTTCCTCATGTTTACAATTCTGGTTGATTTTGGGCAACCTAGGATGATGCGCATGGCTTCATTTTGCAGACCATTCCGTTATGTATTGTTGGCAAGTAAATGTACTGGATATGCACGGGGTC